ATTTGTCGTAGGATTTTTCTACGGACTCAATAGATTTGGATTGATTCAAGCGAGTTGAATTGTTTTTGAGAACTCATCGAAACATGAGCGAGTTCAACCTTTGAAAAAAATTTGTAAAAATTGAAAGAAAAAAAAACGAAGCAATCAACCATCGCTAGTATGCTGCATAATATTAAACGCACCCATTCATTTGTCATTGTTTTCAAATTCCGCGCGAAAAAATTACATTAGGTTCCCATTAAGAATGGATGCGTTTAGTATTATGTGACTTGTCGCTGTTGTGCATTTACGTTTGACACTAGCAGTCGTAGGAAGCAATGTAATCATGGTTATATTTAAATTTTGAATATTGACTTTTTGTCTGGATCTGGCATAAATTTCTTCATCATAAACGAATCAAATCCAGCTGAAAAATATGTACGTATTGTAAACATATTTTTCACGTTTGTAAATATATTTGTTGTTGCCGTAGAGACAGGTTCGTGAAGATAAACGAATACTGCATATGATTAGTTGTTCAAAGTTGCACATGTTATCTATTTTTGATGATGATGAATGAATTGCGCATTTGAGATTTTCGACGTTTTTTTTTAATTTTTCATGATTGGGACTGAAAATCGTGCGAAAGACCATACCCGATCGTACCACTGTGTACGTTGTACAAGTTCATATGCATATCTATCACACATTTCCAAGTTCTTGTAATACAATGGTAATTGTGCCCGTAAATATTATACAGCGTGTTTAGGCAATACTTCGGTAAACGGCAATGGAATGGTGTGATGGTGGCTTGAGATCTAAAAAAAATCACTCCTTGCAAAATAATCATGACATTTATAATATTCGTGGCCAACTTGTATTTGTATGCGGTTTCGTTTTTCGAATTAGAGAATTTAACGGCTGCCCAAAATCGTTTGGCATGCACTCAGCCACCATTACATTCAATATCGTTCCATGTTCTCTTCATTCTGTGAAAGAACGATACGCTAAGCTTATCAATTTCTCTTTTTGATGTTCACATTCGACACATCCTCCAAAATCCATTCGACTTCGACATAGTCTATATACTGTTCTATTATGAGACTGGAAATCAATTCAACTCTCTCGTTATGGCTCTCTTTGTTCTGACTCTTTTCCCCTTTTTCAGAGAACAAACTGAACCAGCCCGGAACAATCGAATTCGATCTAATTGTTCTTAAACCAAGCCATTAGCATTTTGCACAGATGCTTTTACGCTCAAAATGTAATTTGCGTTAGTATCTCAACGAAGAATCAATAAAAACATTGAAATTTGGCTTATTCGGACAGAACTATCGCTTTTTCTATTCTCTACTATCTGCTTAGACTTTATTTGTTTGACCTCGACTCGTGACTCTGAAAAAACAATGATTATTCTGTGTCCGGACTACAGTCAAAAATTTGAATTTGACGATATCACATGATGTATGGAATATTGAAACCAGAACATGATTAGAAATGACGAATTTGGAGGAAGAGAATGTGGGATTCTTCCTGTAAGAAGAGATAAGACAAATTACCATACAACATACTCGTAAATTGTAATCTATTGAAGTAAATGGATGATAGACAATTTGAAATCAAACTCAGTATGGAACAAGAGTTAATTGCAGTCGGTGGACGATTTTCGCTTCTTAAAGTAGTGCCTTTGTACCAAATAATTACAATTATTTGTGCTTTTTTTAATCAGTGCTTTGTTTTCACAATTCCGATTCCGAAACAAATTGAATTTGGACGGATCGAAATGAAGTGCGGTTTGTTATTGGCGATGTCACTTCTTGTGACAAGTTTCAATGGATTATTGACAGGTAATACCTAATTGCAATTGAATACTTTATAATTGAGACATCGACTATTTATTTCGATACCTACATTGACCAATTTTCTTGATTTCAATTTTGGTGTGATGATTTTCAATAGATAAGCAGGATGATGAGTGAGTCAAAATATTAAAAGAACAGCATGCATGCATTCATCGCAAACATTTACAAAATTGGTTTCTTTATCAACTTTTTTAAGTTCACCAATATCCCGGTCCGAATTGGATTCGCTGCGTCGTGCAATCGAACACAGTCAGATTACATTTATAATACTAATAGATTTTACGTTAAAAACGAAATATTTTTTTATTTAGGTGATGCCGATGAAGTTAATTCATTGATTCGGAATGGAATCAATATGAGCTTACGATTTGATAATGGACAAACTCCAATCCATATGGCTGCAGAGAAGAGTGAATATTCTCTTAAAATTATTATAATTCCCCATTTGCTTCCTCTGCAGTGAAACGAAGCCCGCCGCGTTGAACAGGCGAGATAGTTCACACATCATTAGCGAGAGCAATACAGCACACTGTACTGCTCTCGCTCCAACACACACTGCAAGGCGCATAATACGAACTGAGCATAGAAGCGTAGAGAGCCAACACACATCAGTACGCATGGCTACTACGATTGAGTGTTCTCAGTCCTATGCACACTCAATCGTTGTAACATGCGCGTGTCCGTGTGTTGGCTCTCTACGCTTTTATGCTCAGTTCGTATTATGCGCCTTGCAGAGTGTGTTGGAGCGAGAGCAGTACAGTGTGCTGTACTGCTCTCGCTAATGATGTGTGCACTATCTCGCCTGTTCATCGCGGCGGGCTTCGTTTCACCGCAGAGGAAGCATATGGGTCAGGTCAAAATGTCATTCACTTAATATTATGTCTACAGACTCCTATCGTGTAGTAAAGCTGTTAATCGATAACGGTGTAAATCCAAACATTCTCGATGAAAATGGCCAAACACCACTCCACATTACCGCTGAGAAAGGTTGGTAGTCGAGTTTGAAAAGTAATAAAGGGAAATGACATCGATAAAAATCAGCCGGATATTGTTCTTATTCTAATGTGACAGTGCTTAATCTACTATTTCTTATTGCGCTTAGGTTTCGAAGACATTGCCCAATTATTGATCGCCAAACATTCCAATGTTAGCATTGCAGACAAAAATGGTCAATCGTCACTTTACGCTGCACTCAAAGCAGGTGAACAAACAAATCATTTAAATTCAATGAATAACACCATTGAATCGTAAAAAATTGAAAACGGACAACAAATTCGAATACGGTGGCCCAGAAAAACCATCGAAATGGATTTTTATATCATTCAAATTAATTTTTCTTATTGATTATTGGAACAGGCCACGGAGAAATTGCTGTAATGCTCATTGAAAATGGATCAGATCTCGATTTTGATCTAGGTGAATGGAAAGCATCCATATTTCATTGTGCAATTCAAACGAGTATGTTCAAATGGGTTGGAATTTCAATTTGTATTAATACAGTTACATTCTTTACAACATTTTCATACAAATGTCAAATTATTTTCATACAAATCAACATATTTGTGTATGTTCCCGCTAATTGTCAAACCCACAAACATGAAATGCATACAGCGTCGAAAGAAACGTTGGAATTCAATGAGCTGAGTGTTTAAAAATTATTTTTCTAATCAATTCATAGTCGCAAGCGTAACTAGAAAAAATGCGCTCATCAGAAATTTAAACGTAAAGGGTATTTATGCTGACGTTAACTCAACAGCTGCATTCAGAGAAGCTATTGAAAAAGGTATTCATTGAACATAATATGCTTTAAGCGCAAAAAAAGAATATAATTTAAAATGTGTCATTTGGTGATTTAGGTGATGCTTTTTCGACGGAAGTCTTATTTAAAAATTGTAAGGACTTACGGACAACACTGAATCAGGCGCTGCATCTTGCTACACGTAGAGGTAATTTTGTTTATCCATCTGAATCTGCTAAAATTCAAATTTTGAACTTTTAAAAGGACACGCTGATGTCGTAAAAGTACTCATAGTAAATGGCGCTAACGCAAATGCTGTTGGATTAAATGGAAATTTACCCCTGTTTATTGCTGTTAAAAATGGTAATCAAGAAAAAAATGGATTCGTACGTAAAAATGTAATTAAAATGCAATTGATTCATTATTTAGATTATGACAAAGTGGTTGATACCCTAGTTGAATGCGGTGTGGACATTAACGTGAGAGATCAATCAGGAAATACGGCTCTACACGTTGCAATTAAGACTGGTGAGTTTGCTTCCAAGTTCGAAGGAAAATCATTTAAAAAAATCGGTTTCATTGCTTGTAAAATCAAGGCTCCAATCGAATGGTCAGATGTTTAATAAATAATTCAGCTGATGTCAATGCGAAAGATAACCAACGACATTCTCCACTTATGCTGGCCCTTAAGAAAGGTAAGTTTTATTCAATTGTACTGTGTAAAATAAGTAAACAGTTGAACACCTTTATTTAGGTAATGACGAAATCACTCTACTGTTAATCGAAAATAAAGCAGATTTTTATTTACACCGATTGAATTGGGGATCGGCTTACTTTGGCTGCATCACACGCAATGGTAGTTACTTGATGCAAATACTAAATGTTCATGAAATAATCTAGTTTTTCGTTCGATGAAACAAATAACTCATTATCAATTCTAATTTTTAAAAAAATATAGCTAGTAGCAATGTGATCAACGCATTGACCAGAAATGGCGTACGTATTGAACGATATCGGAACGACTCCCTTCAGAACGCTGTTAAAAATGGTAATAATGGTTAATTGTGCGTTGAAATGAAATGTAATTGATTTATTGTTTCACTTGATTGTTTAGGTTATGTTAACATGATTAATGGCTTAGTTGCATGCGGTGTGGACATTAACACGAAAGATCAATCAGGACTAACCGCTTTGCACATGGCGATTCAAGCCGGTAAGTAGCCATGTCTTAGTTAAAAGAGAAGAAGGATTGAAGAAAGATGAAAATAGGCCGAAATTAAAATGATTGAGAAGAGAAGACCCTTGCAAAAAGTTGGTTCAAAGTAAATGAGCGAGTGGTTGGAATTATTTTTCCACAATATTAAATACGAAGTGTCTCTCTGCTTGCGCAAAATGTGAAATAATTTGTACCTATGTATGTACATGTAGAATGTATTTTTTATACATTAATAATGGTGTGAGAATGTGTCCAATGCTTCATGTATAGTGATCCTGGAGAGCAGCCGTTGCCCAGATAGTAAATTCAATGCTCTGGGGTAT